AGTATGCAGATGATATTGTGCTGCTAAGTGAAGATCCAGGTAAGTTACACGCTTTTCTAGATAGTTTGAGTGTTAGTGTAGCCATGTTCGGCATGCGTTTTGCACCTTCAAAGTGTAAAATGCTATTACAAGATTGGGTCCAGCACCCAACCCCACCTTGACTGCGGAAGTCGTAGAGGAAGTAGACAGGTTTTTCTATCTAGGCAGCTATATCTCACCTGGCGGACGCATCACAGATAAAGTGTCGGCGCGCACACAAAAGGCTCGGTTGACATTTTCCAACTGGAGACATATGGCGCCGTCGCGATATTCGGCTGTCTGTGAAGGGGCGAGTATATGCCACAGCATTTCGGCCAGTTCTGCTATACGGTGCAGAGACCTGGCCACTACGGTAAGGGGATAAAAGTAGATTGTCGGTGTTCGAGCACTGCTGTCTAGGTCGCGTTGCACGAGTCTGGTGAGGTAACTGGACGTGCAACACTGAGGTTAGGCGTGGAGTTTTAAGTAGTCTCATTCTTCCACTGGAGTGAGTAGTCGGCCTTCATAGATTACATTGGATGGGGTATGTTACGCATGTCACCAGATAGATTGTCATGGCGAGCGATGATCACCGAGGCAGGGAGTGGTTGAACCAAGATCATGGTTGGTGTAACGAAAACCTGGCATGAGAGTATGAAAACCCTAACCAATTGCTGCTCTATTTTGTGTTTGGTTCGTTACGCGGATTCTCATCTAGTGGGGCTTTTTCAGATGGTTTGACCACACACACTCACTCTCCATTTTGAAATGGGCGATAGATCACGTGAAACCTATCACCCCAAACATTGATCTCAACTATCAACAGCCACAACCGAACCGTCGCGATTTGGAGTGACGTTGCAATGGAAGTGCGTATGATACTTAACGGGTTGCAACAACGGTGCCTTCCAATAAAAATGTCTATCACTCTCCTGATCCTTTTGCTTGATATTTATGAGCACTCGATTGATCTCATGCAGTCACTAAACAACTTGAGTCTGCGTCTGAACCTCACCATCATCGGCTTCTGGGAGTTACGTGCGGCTCTGCTCTCCTCAGAATCAATGCCCCATCTCTTTCTTGTTGGAACCCTGCTTGATTCCAAGGGCCTTAACTGTTCGCCATCTTCACTGTACAATAGATTTTCGTGCCACACTGTCTCACTGTGTTTAGTAGTAGGCAGCTTTGCTGTCATCCGGTTCAATACCACGCCTAATCTAATGGGGCCTTATGTGGGTCACCACTCCAAGTCTCGGGGCTTAGGTTATCAGTTTACATCACTGAATGGCAGGTCTACGTGATTATGGGGTTGATCTTGTCTGCGTCTAATAAAAAACATGAAACTAGTCAGCTTTAAACTGCAAGTTTGCTCAAAGAGGGAATATTGCAGCGAAAAACACTCATAAAGACTGCCTATGATGGACAAAGAATGCGAAGCTGCGCCGAGCTCGTCCCACTGAGACCGGGCACAAGAAGACCCGAACACTGCATTGTCCCATGAGGTTTGTTTTTCATTCATATTTGCTTAGTGTTTTTAATCCCAATAGCGAGTTGCGAACCTGGGTGGTGTGTATATTGTGTATTTCACACACGTCTGAGTTCAAACTGTATGCCAAACAAATCACGGTACAATAGTCTTTATGAAGAAACGTACCATGATTTGCTTGTGGGCGGAATACTGCCAGGTTGCCCAGGCCAAATCAGGTGAATTTTCTTTTCTCGGGGTTGCAAGCAATGACTATCCACTGCGTATAGGTTGTTTTCATTATGGTTGTTGATTGTACGCATCCGAAATTTGATACGCTTGTAGCGTTTCTCTTGACCACCGTGTTGCACGAGTAAGTATTTGACACACACTTGTATTTGCATTTGTTTGCATCTTTCATATTGTTAATGTACATATATATACATAACTGCATCAAGCGAGGTTACTACGCGCAAGTTTAATGTTAAACAAGGGGATAGATAACAAACTGATTGGTTCTTCATCTGGATAGTCACCTGGCCGATTGGTTCACCGATCCGCCAACCCACGTGAGTCGTTTGTGGGACAATTCAATTCCACAGGTGAATCGCCAGCAACTCGCCTCCGGTTTATCTCCCGATCTCCGCAAATCATCAGTAGTAATTTATTTCACTGGTTTCATGTGAACCCACTGGTTCGTACTGCCCAATGAGGTGATCGGATTTGGTAATGCATTCATGCTTGGCGATGAAGCCAGTAGTTACGCTCATCTAGCAATCTGAGCTCCGAAAAACAGAAACGTTTGATTCGAGAATGGACAGTAGTCTTGAAGAGATTCGAACATTTTGCTCAGCCCATGGAATTCATTTCGTAGACTTTGCTTGATTCAAAGGTTGAGCTTCTAAGCTGAAATTCTATGTGGCCTCGTCAAGTTGGTTGGTTAACCTTGTGTGAAGGTATCAGAGGTATCGCTGTTGCTTTGCAGCTCAGCTAGCAAAGTGTACTTTATGAAAATGCTAGGACGGCAGTCATTCGTGAGTTTTAATCGCATCGATACTACTGACTCATTAACTAATCAAACGGACTCAATCTGCCAAAGCCACGTTAAACCAATTTTATTCACTGGTTAACCGTCGACCCATGTAAACATCTAGCGCCCTCATATCTTGCTTCACGTGCACAAATCATTCATTTCCTCCTTTGATGATATGACCTATTGGAATTATTGTCAGGAAGATAATATTCCGTGTTTCTTTTTCTCTCATTTAATTAGAGAGTGAGAGTAAGGCTTTTTTATATTACACACCTTGGTATAAATGAATAGTATGGATGACCGCGAGTTATGGAAACCAATAACCGAAGGTTGGGATCTCAACAATCGGGTTTAATTGGGTCTACGTGGCGAACGGCATACGAAGACAACTTTTTCTTTGTNTGTGAGCTGATAAAATCGACTGCTTGATCCAACGAACCTGGAGGGAATCTGTCCGATTCGCAAGAATGGGTCATTTAGATAAATCCTTACCTGTTGAGTGTTGAGTGAGCCTAAACGGGGCAACCAGGCACTAGCAAACTGTTGCGTTGCAGGTCGCAAATAGTAAAGACTAGAGGCGCGCTGTCAAAATGAGTAGAACGCCGAAATGGCACTCATGGCACTCATTTTATTTAATGAATTTCGTTGTGTACACAAATGAAATCTGAACTGAGAAACTAGAAAGCACTGATTAGCTGTTTCGACCGGATTGGATCTCGTTTGTCATCCACCGTTTACTGAACAGTTAGGTTCGGAATGTTTTCAACCGAGTCATAACCCCGGAGATTAGTGATGAAGTGAGCGGGTTGTGATGTCCACCACAAGCTTGCAAAGATGAGTTCTGGTGTATCGTGTACAAGGATAATGAAAATCAGTCTGGTCAGCTGCCCTGTAACCGAGTGAGTGATATGCGTTCTACCTGTGGGGTCCCGGGTTCGATCCCCAGTTTGGTCTATGGATTTACAATGCCGATGGAACCCAATCATGTTGGACAGCTAAACGGTGCTTTCTAGCCTTTCCGTTCACTTTTTGATTGGTTCTGTGTCCAACGGAATTCACCATATCATCAAATCTAGTCCTTTGTTACTACTATGCAATTATGTGTTAGTCAAGCACTAGGAGATATATAAATCTTTCTTCGCCATTATCAGTTCACAAGCGTTACTTCTTAATTCCGCGCGCGCGCTTACTTGCTTGGTTTGTGGCTGCATGCCAAAACGACTTACCAGTACACGCACATGCGCGTGCTTGTGTGTGCCTGCATACCTGCTGATGCTGATGCTGTCCATAGTCTTTGTTGAACTTGTTGGCCCGTCAAAGTTATGCTTTGGGCCACGGTTACTTGAGGTATACCTAGCATTGCCAACTATTTCTTCCGGCTTCTGCTGCAGCAGCAGCAGCTGTTGCTAGTCTTTGAATGTTGGTGCGCTGGCTTGTTGGGAGATGGTCACATACAAACATGAAGATAACACTCGATTTTCTGTATGTGCACATATACCCGCGCTCGTGCACACAAACACTGAGGGGCACTCCACCCGGGAGAGGGTTTTGGGACAAACGCCATTGGACGTACGTACATGCATGCATGCTTCAACACCGGCTTACTCATTTACAACCCGTACGCGTGGAGTACAACCCTTTTGTAGGTCAGATGAGTAAGTGAGTGAATGAGTGGATAAGCATGCGTGCCAATTCATGCGCACCTACGATGAAACCCACACAACCACTAATTCTCTACCGAATCCTGTTATTGATTCACACCGACCATGACTACCACTTCTTTCGGTGGTGAATTAGGGTAAGAGAGGTTGGTAAGCTCAGATGCGGCTCGCAACATAGAAATGAAATTTTCCGACACACTTCAAAGAAAAGCAGCGCCAGAGTGTTGACTAAGTCGAAGATCATTTTTATATCAAGGAATATAGAAATGGTTGATCCACAGAAAGAATGTTGGTTTTCAGTTATCCGTCGAAGGATAAAAACGGTTGATTCATCCTCGACCAGGCCTTAAATTCACCTTGTTAGCACACAAGCACCGGAGATCCAACACAAGGAGTTTCGAATTTTTCTAATGAAAGCTAACCGAAACGGGGGGAGGGTAATGATAACCGGTCATTGGATTATCAGCTTGTGTTATCCTTCTCTGGGGTATTTCCATTGCTGTCATGTAATATAGGATGCACACGACTCGTAAATAGAGGAGTGTTCCGTAGTGCAGTACATCATCATCACTCATGACTCACTTCAATCCTACTCGCGAAGCAGATTGATGAAATTATTTTCTTTTTAGTATTAAAGGATATTGCGAAACTATTAATTTCTGCTTATGGCCTTGGATGAGAGCGGCAACAAAAATGAATCTGGTTATTTGATTAATCTGAACATAAAACTTTCCAAAATCATTGTTGAATGTCTGATTTTTGTGTTCCTCTTATTTTTTTTTCATGTTTACAGGTCTAGCATGCATTCTGCCTCATTCAGTTATCAAACAATCAATCATTTACTCTGGCACGTGTTTTAATCGTTTCAGGTGGTCCCCTCTCTAAGGCATCTGGCTCGGTTCACTATACTATCATTCGTCCGTCGAGACCACATTGATGAACTCCCACTGCCCAAAACACTACTGTCTTATTTGAAAGAGAAGCAGTTTTATGTGGAATCTTTGGAAGCATTTGAAGAAGCGATCCGGGATCGACCACCATTGGAATTTCGACCGCGGCCAATTGTCCCTGAGCAGGTGGTGAACAGAACCTCTACTCCGCGTCATTTAAACAGCGTGAGTGTGGTCAGCCAAGATAGCAGCAGTAGTAGCAGCAGCAACAATACTGGATCAACCATAGCACGCAATCCTTCGTAGTCCATGCATCCAGCCACAATAGAGTGATGTGGTCTACCGCATCGCGCATTCTCGTCCTGCTCCGCCTGTCTCCTGTGCCACCTTCCCCGTGATCTGCATTCTTCCAGTGCTCATCAAAGGGAGAGTCAAATATATA